GCCCTACAGAAATTCATTAGACATCTTACAGGTCAGCTCGTTCTACGGGTTCAAATCTTCCAGATCTTTGAAATCACTCCTCACTTAAATACCACTTACCTAGCTCACAATAATCTTTTTATTTACGCACTATTATATTCTATTTTATCTCAACTACCTAGGCCTTTATAAGAGCTAAAGCTTACTCTTTGTTCATATTTGTTGCTTGCCCAAGGTCTGGTTGCTTTGATTAAAAACATAACAACAGCAGTGTTTGGACAAATCTATATTTTCATCGAAAACATCATAGTTTCTATGTTTAGACCAATATGGTTAGCATTAAATATATTAAATGTATACTATTATTCCAAGAAGTCTCCAGCTACTTCTTGTATACATCTTGCAGATGTACTTCCAATGATGTCTGAACCACAGTTTTATTTTATACCATTTTACATTTTCTCAGGACGTTCTCATCTTCCTGAAATGGCTATTAATCACTTAACGGCATAGAACTCACTGTTCACTGTTTGACCAGAACTTTCAGCATGAAATGGAATGCAGTTTGGGATGTCGCTCAACTTTGCTGGTGACCTTAGTGAAGGGCTTACAATTCAACATTTACAAGAACCTATTCTGATTGTTTGTACAATAATCGAACAATTTAACCTTTTGAAAAAGTATTAATTTATGGTACTTCAGGGCTGTAATTTATGACAATTGATCGTGCCTGTAAAAGTGGCATGCATTTCTTGTAAACACAAGTAACAATAATAGTATATTCTCATTTTTTACATGAGGGACGCCAGTTTACAGGCATCATCAATACGCTAAACTCATGTTTAATTCTCGAGCTGCCAAAATAATGCATGTTGCTGTCCTACAGATCGGAGCGATTCACATTTGTGACCACTACCAAATCTGCTGATCAGCATGCGCCACCCTCCCTTCTTTTTTGACATTAAGCTCTGAGACCTTTTACAATGACTGCCGCTGTAATATTGGATTGCTTTGACTCCATCCCAATCATACAGCATGCTGCACATTAACAGCTTTCATGACAAGTGCTTCCCATTAGGTCACATGGCACAATAATACCAGAGGACATCGTTAGCAATATTATCATCATACTAGTGAACAAGTGGATTACTACAAAAGACTAAGAAATTAGGTTTCCCTTAAAAGTTATGGAGTATAAAAGTAGCTAATATTAGAGCAACTAAGTTATATTATATTTAGCAGAGTGATACGAGTAGTGGAAGAATTAGTGATAAAGTTATGTAAAGTGGTCCTGACTAAGGCAACTGGTTAACAGAACTTGTTATGCTAAATTTTCACGACCGATTCTATACGGTGTGCGTTACACATTGCAAAGTGACTCATAAATCACATAATGGAAGAATACTACAAAATTTCAACAATATGGAATTTTTAGAAAATTATATGAAAATGGGTAACTGTTGACTGAATATAGTCATTTCAACTCAAAAATAGTACTACTAATATTAATAATATATTTGTAGAAGACGCCTAGGAAATTGTGTTTAAGAAGTATGAAGTATAGAAGTAGCTAGTATTACAGCAACTAAGTTGAAGTCTATTTAGCAGAGTAAAAAGTGTAGTGGAACAATTAGTGATAAAATTATGTATAATGATCCTGAAGAAAACAGCCGGTTAACAGTGCTAGTTATGCTAAACTTTTTACGACCGATTTTCATACCGTGCGCATTAGATATTGCAAAGTAACCCTTCAACTTATACAATAATAAAAATACTGCGAAATATTATAAAGAATATACGTTTTAGGAAGGTGTATGAGAAAAGGCGGTTATTGGCTGAGTAAAGTCATTCAGACAAAAAAATAGCATTGTATTATTAACTGTATATACATATGTAAAATATTAAAAAGTGTGGTTGCTAATATAATTGTTTCTAGAAGTACTTATATTAACATAACTTACTGAAGACTATACGGAAAGAAAAATCAGTAAATTAGTTAAACGTTCGCTGCGTAAGTAGTAGAGTCGAGTTATATGTAACTGACTGAGCTGAAGACTGGACCGGCTTTTACTTACCATTTTACCAACATTTGTGGTCTTTTAGACAAGCTAGGGTGGAGATGTTAATGTGTCTCTCTAGGCTCCGTTTGAACCCATTGGGGTTTTCACAACATCTAATTTCAGATGGTAGTTGGTTCCAAAGAGTGCAATATATAATGGTGAAAAAGTTTGCCCTAATGGATTTTCTGTAGGTGGCCACCTTGACAAGGTAGTCGTGGTTTCGCAGCTGATATGATTTAATATTTTCCCACGTTATGGATGAGTTACTATAACAATGTTTCCTAATGACTTTGAATAGTAGAAATAAGTTGCACTTCACTCTCCTTAACCACAGAGGTTCTAAATTCAGACGCATACACCCATCAACATATTCCACTGTTTGGTCAAACCCTATTATGCGTTTCGTTAGGAATCTCTGAACACTTTCGATTTTTTTCGGTCTGCAGACCTTAGGTTACTATACAGGAGAGCACGATATTCACGCTTTGGGCGGATACATGTTCTATATATAGCTAATCTTGCTTCTTGGGTGTAGAAGTTACGCAGCACAAAGCCAATAAGTCGTTTACAGTCGGATACGACCTTATTTGCATGATCGGAAAAGGTTAGATCTGAGTATGTTATCCCGAGATCTGTGATAGTGTTCAGTTTCGAAATGCTACGATATTACGAATATCATCTCTAACAAGTTTAACTAACTGTGAATTCGAGGTACGGGTTAATAAACATCTCAAGCTTGTTATACTTTAAAAATTATCCTCCTTGCATAGAATTCAGCCAGGTTCACAAACAATTGCAGCAATTTAGAAAGGTGGTAGACCAAAATCCTTCACATCCACTAGGTGTTCACTTAATTGGGTCTTGGCTGCTTTTTGTAGTTATCATCCTTTCTTTCTTGCTTTCCTGAAGTTCGCGGTAGGGCTCACCAGTTTACAGGCTGAGGATATTGACGTTCAAGAATAGTACGAAGTATACTAACGCAAGATATATTACTTACAACTTCTATAGTATTCGTTTCGCGTAGACCAAAGGCAAAGCAAAACACCAGATTTGATCATCCAAATTACGAGATATATTTCGGGACCAAATCAGAGTGCGAGATGATTGCTCAGCTGGCTAGGGATCGTGCACAAATGAACAAAAGTGACACGACGGAGTACCAAATGGCGTGGATGATTGACCGTGAGCCTTCAGCTTGCAAGAAAAGATTAGTGAGATTGTAGTAAATAATCAGGTTTAGCTTAGGAGGTCTTTTCCAGAGTGGTTCTAAACTTAGTCTGTCGCAACCTTCATAGTATTCGAGATAACTTTCAAAACCAAGAATTCTTGGGGTGAATTGTCGTTGCACTCCTTCTAATTTAAGCTTGTCATTTTGCCTGAGTCCGCTAAGAATAAACGGGCAGTATTCTAAAATAGGTCGGACACATACTTTGTATAATAAAACCCTAGTTTCACAACAAAAGAAATTGCGAGTTATGCATCCTAGGAGGCTTCATGTTTTACGTTTGGCGTAATCACTTTGTTCAGGGAACGTTAAGTTACTAGAGTATCTGATACCGAGATATACGACTGAGTTGAGCTTAGCTATTTTACGCCCATTTATTTCAAGATTTAGGTTAAGGTTACTGTTGCCAATACAAACCCAGCCGCATTTGTCAATGTCTTGTTAACCGCGTGTATGAGCATATCGATCACTGACAATGTGGCGGCTGAAATTAGATTGAGTTAAAAAACATCGTTGATCCCACAAAACATCATAGACACCCAGTGCAAAGGTCAACGAGCTTCCGATTAAGAATAGTATTTCTTATTAATGCGGTGAGATAACCAACTTCTTTCACGCGTGAGAGAAACCTCGGTGGTCAGAGAGAAAGTGATGAAATCTGAAGCAGTCTGTGGGAAGAAAACTCCGGAACTTTCTACTTGCGAGCAAGCAAAGGTAAGAGGCGAGTTGAAAAACAGTTCTTCACGACTGTGAAATTCGGAATCCTACTAAATTCTCAATGAGCGGCTCAATAGTCCACTGGTAATCAGTTGCAGTTCTCCATTGCAATTGGTCATGGTTCCTGTCTGGTGGTAAGAAATCAGTAGCAGATTTATTGGGGTGAAAGTATGCGACAAGCGCTAGACTCGAACCATTGGAAACCTGGGAGTACTGGACAGCTGTTTCGTTCTAGTTTGAGACACTGCATAGGTACGCACCCACTCACCGGGTTTCGGACACAGGATCTTTTAGTTACAAGGTGAGCTAGATCGTAAACCAGTGAGCGACTGGGACCCAGTCCAATGGCCAGCCAGCGCATGAATTCTAACTTTTGCAAATTCACGACAAAGCGGGACCACTTCGCAATGTCTTGTTCGATGAGTTGCAGCCACAGCTAACACTACACCTATTCCAACGGCTGTAAGAAATCTGTTTACTACTCCAAACTGTTGTGCATACTATCACAGTTTCTTAGATGAGGATAAATAACTCCTTTGAAGGCTGTTAAAAGGGAATCAAGAGGATCATGCGACCTCGAAACAGTTCATAATACGAAAGGTATTAGAAACCTGGCATATTCGCTCACAACTACTGTCAGCCGTCGAGAGGATGCAGCTGGACGAAGCAGCCCATTTTTTGACAGCCTATGAACTATTCCTTCAAGTATACCAAGGCGGTAACCGGCATAGGGATTGATTCCGAATACAGCAGTCATAGAGTCTAAACACGGACTACAAATTACCCATAAAAATTAACCATTCTCACAGACATATTTAGTTCTCTAGAAGCTAAAGCAGGCGAGTTGTTAGATTGACAAAGCCGAAGCATGCTGTGAAATTAGAACTATTCCATCGCTGGCTTGAGGTATCAGTGACTGAATTTCTTAGTTTAAACTGGCTACTAAAAGTGATGTTGAACATTAACATTTGTTTAAGCATGCTGACATTCAATATCAGTTTCGCTTTTATGGACCCTCAATGTACAAAATGAGTCACAATGATAGGTGTGAATCTGTATTGAAGGGTTTCAAACTGTAGGTTCACTTAGAAATGACAGTAATGTAGCAGAAATTGGATGAACTTGCGTGACGCTGATTCAGGGAAAATTTTATGGCAGAGCACCGATGATTTGTATGTTTACAACTATATTTTTATTTGTCAATTTATATTAAAATAGTTCTGTCCCAGACGTTGAACATGCGGGTATGTGTGATTTAATTTGATTCTTTTCAAAGCTCATGTCCCGAAGAGAATACTCAAATGTAAATCGGTTTCCCGTGAAATCAATTTTTCTTCGGAAGAATCACTTGAGAATTTCTGGCTTGAACAAGAGGTTCTGTTTAAGGATCAGCCTATTGAAAGTAAGTTTAACTAATTTTTGTATCTGTAATATTTACTCAGCAGTTCGCTTAGTAGCATTTGAATTGAAAACCTAGACTATGCGCATTCATGTATTTTCATCAAATCACGTAATTTATTGTCGTGTGTTTTTTTACTGTCTTTGTGAATTACTATAACGAGTGTATTTTCGCGAAACATATGCATACTAAAGTGATCCATGGTAATTTCTGTCGTGATATCAAGTGAAATTTAGATTAAATATGTGAAAAATGAACTCCTATTTATGTATATTTTCCACTAACCGTACTACCAGTGTGAAAAAGCATAAAACTATGGTAAACTGAGTTTTTGAAATGGATTTTTGGTTTAAATTAAGGTTCAGAATATATTACGTAGCCTCGAAGATCAACCTACTATTGGAAAATATCAATTTATTAGAGCTGCAGCTCACTTGACGATGTTGGCACTGACCAAATCCAAAAACAAACTAATTGTGCCCGAATTCTTGCGAAATCTAGTACCGCGATGATGTCTTCATCATCTGTGCGAAATTTCTGGGCAGTTCATATGTGTATTCATAAGGTTTGGAATAATACAAATGACATAAACCCTTGGTCAAACATTTTCATTATTAAACCATGTTCAGTTTGAACAGGACATATCTTCATTTTATAAAGATTGTACGCTCTCAGAGCACTCTTCTATTGTACTCGTTAGCAGGAGACTACTATGTTAAAGTCCTGATAACTGAAATAGCCAGACATACTTTGAAAACACGTGCAAATGTCTAAATCATTTATGCTGGCGCTCTCTTAAGTAGAAAAAGTTTTCTTATACTATCAAACACCAGTTATATTTCATTTAACCGATGACCTAAGTGTACAATGACGATAATCTAACTTCTCAGCGTAAAAATGTTTACAAAACCGAATCCCTCCGAGTCGACACACACTAGGAAATCATAAAATTAGATAAATGTATGGAAGCTGTAACAGCCTAGATGGAAAGGGATGAGTAATGTTCATTTGCGTATCAATAAAGATTTCCAGAATCTTGATGAAAAGTAGTAGGTCCATATCATGTCAAATGATTGCGAGCCGTGTCACTAAGAGCCTATAACCATCGATACTTTACGTCTTGAAAATACCAGTCACTTCATGCATTTATTTCCCTTGCTGAATTTGAATAAAGCAAGAACAAGAGCGGTTTGTGCATAATAATATGGTACCATCATTCGTTTCGTTGGCTTCTCACCAGCTGCTTACGGCATAAACAAATTATAAGGTTTTTGAACAGAAAATTTTTAACATACTTACAAACTTTACATGATGTCAGTTGGCAGAAGGTCCCGCAATTAGTGAACAGTGCTCATAAAATTACGCTTATATGATTTTTACACAGGCAGTTCAGGTTTATACAAAATAAATGTATGCATACCATGGTAAAGGAGTTACGTAATAACCACGAGAGATGTGTAAGATGCTGAGTGACTAAAACCCGTCATGCAGTATGCATCTTACATGAATCAAACCAACTGTCAGAGAATTCATCGATTCGTGCTATGATGTAGATTAATCTCCTCTACTTCTTTGAAGTAGTCTCATTTCAGCTAAAACTGCTTACCAAGAGAGACTACGGTTGTTTATGAGTAACAATGCGTAAGGAGATCATTTGCTAAGGTCTCACTTTGTAGACACAGAATGCCTAACTTCATTATTTATAACCATATAAGAAACTAAACATATACACCTATAGTCCGGTTTTAGTGACCATTCCTCTGCCACATAGTAGGACCGAGAAATCCCCAGCACAATGCATACGCTCTTCGATGAACAGACGGATGTTACTACCGTGTCGAGTGTGACGCAAATTAGCAAATGTCAAACTAGCATTTCGTATATATGCAGAGGTTTTTATTGGTATTCAGCCCATCGAGTCGACGAGACTCTTCAAAAAGGTGGGTGGTCAGCACATTCGGCCATTTACCTACCTATCCTTGAACTAGCAATCGGTAACATACGTTGAATTTGAGCGGATCGCATAGCAAATTTATGTGGATACTTATTAAAGACAGTGAGACTGGGACTGTACTTCAGTACAAAGTTTCAGTAACAAATTTGTTCTTGTAACATTTTCGAAGATTACTATATATTCCTAGTATTGTGAAACCTTTTTGTTCTTTATATTGAATTGAGCTTACTGATAGAATCACAACATAGATGTACCCTCTGAAAGCATTTGCCTTAATTTATCTAAAGCCTTCACTACTTGTCACATACTTGCTGGCATCTCTGATTAAAAATAGAAATTATCTTGAAAAATTGCTTCATCCTAAAGAAACTCATTTGATATTTGACTCTCCTAAAGATTCTTTAGGTTACATTGAAACTGACCCTAAATCTGTTTAAGCAGTCTTTTAATGAAACAAATGAAAAAACTATAGTGTGATAAATTGAGACACATTGTTGATGAGGGTCACAAATTAATTCCTGTTTGGCTTCAAAAACAATCAGTAAGTTACCCCTCAGTAGGTTTTAATTTTTTATTTCTTGTTCATTTTTTCATAAGATACCATTCAAATGAGTTGTAAACAATGAATTCCCTAAGAATAAAAAAAAGTGTAAGACCGTTTGTGTATATTCCTAATTTATATGGATAGAAGAGACAGCATATTTAATTGAGCACTTGACATCTTATATATGATCCATTCACCTAAATGTTTTTTCTGTTTCTATTGAAAACTAATATCACTCAGTAGGTTGGACTACTTAAGTATTAGGTATTTAAATTTCATTGCAATTGTTGAAATTTCTACCTAAATAGTTATATACTTTATAGTTCACCACCCCTGCCATCGTAAGTCCCAAACAGTGGTGGAAGGTGAGGTAGAAGTAAAGCTCTTCCATTATTCCTCTACGCTGGTGAACTATAAAACTGAGATAACCATCATATTAAGGTTATCAACTCTTGTCGGAAAGCAGTCAAAGACATAAAATGTATATCATTTAAGTCTTAAAGTCATCAATGAAAGATTAAGTGGTGAAGCGTCGAAATATACCCACTGTTGCCACCAAAATCCACTATTTTAAACAAAAAGCCTTAGAATGATGAAACCTCTAAAAACTGACGCAAAGTATAGGGTTTAATTTCATTAATATACACTAACAGAGGATCATTTTATGATTATAAATCATTCACATCCCTTTGCATACAATTCAGCTATATAATTCACTAAATAAAACAGTGAAAGCAAAGGAATTAGATAATGGTAAATTCGCTCTTTAGTGTGACAATTAACGTTATTCATGTATTTATTCGAGTTTAATGTAGGGTGACACAACTAAATGTCTTCCAGATCGTAGATTTTGCACTTAAAAGTGGTTATGTTCAACTATGTTCTATTCTGTGTGCGTTGGTAGCACAGCCGTAGAATGCCCACCAAACACCCAGGTGGTCCGGGGTTTGATCTATGGTAGACTCACTCCTTTGCCTCGTTAAGCCAGTAATTAGACTGGTGAAGAGAGGGGAAGTTGGGCATGAGGCTAGCATCTCCATTCCGTTAAAATAAATGCCACTGCTACCGAAACTTCAAAGCTCCAGTTTGAAGCTTTGTGTTCCACTGGGAACGTAAAGGAATGAAACATGGTGTATTCTACATGGCATTCACCAATAATTTACTTGTCAGATCGTACTTTTCTCGTTCATTTCACTGTAGGCAAGCAAAGGGTCACACAATCAAATCAGTTTGCTACCTATTAAATATATGCCACCATAACGTTATGAACAGTATGCATCAATGTAGAAATTTGCTAATAACAATAACACATCAGTTTGAGGGAGTTTACATCATACATGAGGGGAATTAACGGGAATAAAATGATAATAACAGAGATAAAAGGAATTATGAGGGGAAAGTTTATAACTGAATGAAGATCAGTTAAAAGCGTCCAAATTTCCAAACATAACAAGGAGTCTTTATTACGTTTTTATCTACGTTACAAAAATTAAAAGACTCTTAATACAGATCGAAAACTGTGTTATTTATTACGGAAATTTTTTCTATATAGTTATGGAGTTTGCATCTATCTTACAACGGTTCATATACATATATACACATATGTATGTAATAAAATGAAGTTTTAACAAACAGATAACCAATAATTTCCATTGTTAAGATTTAAACAATGCATATTAGAGAATAGTACTGTTTCTTGTTAGATCTCCCTTAGGCTTTACTCTAACACACATAGCTTTGTATATATATATTTTTAAAAGTTATCTTGCGGCTATAGCAACAAGGTTTTAGGTTCAGTCCCCAGTAAGGTCATAGGTGCCGATGAGTCTCGAACTAGAACGGAACGGTTATCCGATATACCTCCTGGTTTTCACTTATCCTCCTATCGATGTAATTTCATGATCTAATAACATTTTTTAACTAATCATGGTGAATTAGAAGGCATCTGTGACGCGCAGATAAAAATGAATTATTCTCTTAGATTTATCCAGAGAAACATAAGCAATATGTACAACAATGCGTAACCACCCACGGTTTAAAAGAAGTAGTTGTTCATTTAGCGCAAATGCAATGCAGACCTCGATAGTGGTAAGCTGTACCAAAGACTTTTGAAATCACTTATTTATAATTTTCTAGCTGATCAACTACCATTTCTGAGGTGAAATATAAGCTACATAGCTGCACCACTTCTATGTGCATTCACAAATTTAGCCGCCTCTGTTGAGAAATGCTTATAGTGTGGAAAACTTTACGGCTTAACAAGCTCATTGCTGAGGATCTTCCAATTATTATTCTGAGAGTGTGAAAAAAGCTATGAGATGCTCAACTTATTCTCATTTGATTTACAGTGGTCGCCCGATGAACAGAAAATTTATTTATTGTATTCGACTGAAGATTTCGGACGGGATTCTAAGTAGTTTTATACACAGCCGAAGCTATCAGAATGAGGCAGAATAGCCGTCTTCTTTCTCTTGGCTTAATTGCATCTAAAAAACTAATTAATGC